GCCACCCGTGTGGCACACTTGCATGTGCCTTGTCCCTGACGGTCCGTAAGGCATGGCCTTCCGAGTGCCAACCCCGAACGTGTCAGTGGTGGATCTGACCGTCCGCCTGGAGAAGCCAGCCAAATACGAGGATGGCTTAGCAACAGTTAGGCACCTATTTCGGACCTGTTCGGACCCGTCTCCCATCCCGGCCCCCTTGTGAGGAGATCGTGGCGGCGATCAAGGATGCAGCCAACGGCCCCATGAAGGGCGTCCTCGACTGGACAGACGAGGTGGGGACTGCGGACGTGACAGAACATGCCTCTCCACAGGCGCTTGAATGTTCAGGAAGTCGTGTCCACGGACTTCGTGACCTGCAAGGCTTCCTCTATCTTCGACGTGGCTGCTACCCGGCCTGGACTTTGGGGCATGTGGGGCCCAGGGCCTGTACCGTTTGGAAGGCACATGCATAATTAATGATAATCATGCATCAAAGGCCGGAATCTCGCTCAACGACAATTTCGTGAAGCTTGTGAGCTGGTCGCTCGGCAAGGACACTCTCGCGGAAGGCGTTTGAACCAGTGTTTTGAAGGCCCTGGTTCAGAAGAGAAATCCAAGCACAATCCCATTTCGAGTTCGCAGAGTGGGTGTGAGGTTGTAAAAATGATTTGCACTTGAATGGCTTCACCCCTCCTCATGCCTACTCAGCTCTTCTTTCGTGGTGAGACCTTTGATCGCTCTGCCTAGGTATGACAACGAGTGGGGATATTCCAACCGTCTTGTGGAGCTGGCCGTGCACATGGCCAAGGTGGACGGCTAGGCACGTGCGCTTCCAAATTCCTTTGCTGAAGTACGGGTTTGTTGTGTGTTTCTTTGTCTATTGGGACCGGAAGGTATTTGCAACAGATCAGCTGGGTCTGCAGCAACGCATGTGCGAAGAATGCCGGCCATGTACCTGAGAGAAATGTTTGCACCGTTTGAATGCTTCGCCCATCCTACAATTGACGAGGAGGGCGATTTTCACTCATGATCGCTTATGGCAGACGCTGGGGGGTGCGCACGGTTTGACACGATAGCCTGGCAACTCTAGAATGAAGTCAAGTCCTCAGAAGCAGTCCACGGCACATCCTCCCAGCCTGCCAGAAGGGAAGCAGTGCTGGACTGAACAACGCACCCTCGAGCTTCAGACAAGTGTGCTTTTGCCAGGTGTTGGCTTGGTGCTCTCATTCTTCTTTTAGGTTTGATTGGAAGCCAGACTGGCGGGTGATGGGGATCACATTCAATCCTAGTCGGTAGCTCAACCAAGCATCCGGAAGACAGTCTTCGGCAGTTGCGAACTTGCATTCTGTCCTCCCAGGTCAAGGCAGACCTGCTTGCTGAAGTCCCTGCAGGCTATGAGGTGCGAGCAGTAGGTGTGTAAGACTTCCTTTGATGTGCGCCCAACGCCGAAGCTGTACAGTCCATGTCATGTAAGACCAAGCTGCCTACTTCCCCCACCTCTTTCGAGTGGCGAGGAGCAGTTTGAGGGCCTACAGCTCGTTGCTCGCGCGCAGCTCGCAAAGATGATGAGGCGTAAACGACGCTTTGTAACCGAATGGCTGTTGGATGCTGTTGGGTTGGCTGCCTCAACGCAGGTTTTTGTCATGCCGGATGGTGCATGCCACGGCGCAGTGATGCTTTGGCTCAAATGTGTCGCCCAAACTTCTGCAAACTAGGTTCGCCCAGTTTTTTTGAACTCTTCCTCCAAAGCCAGCCTTGTATATACAAAGCATGCAGCGGGATTTCACGTGAGGCCAGAAGTAAAGGAAAAAGCTACATGCCATGAGCTGAAACTTGAAGAGTCCCCAGCGGATAGGGTGATGCCAAAGCTTTGCCGTATGAATCAAGCTGTCGAGACATGAGCTTTATTCTTCTTAACTCCTAGTATCCCCCTTAATGACCTCCATAATGCTCCCCTACTTGATCCCCTATACCCTCTGTAAAGCGTACAGCAGTTAGACTGCAGCTCACATGGTGGTTCTGCATCTTCTTGCCTACTACATTCTCGTGACTCGGCGACACCGACTCTTTTGGCAACATGGTGCAAGGTCACGTACAGTTGTAGCTCCCGTCAACTCAACAGCCATTGATGCCAAACGCCTGCAAAACTTCCTGATCTTTGTTGGCACTGTTAGCATCAGGCTTTTCTCCAAGAGGAGGAGCTCTTCGCTACTTTGCGTGCCAAAGGCCTTCGGCATGTCTGGCAGACGTCCCGTTTGTGCAGCCTGGAGTTCTGCTTGTTGTGACCCGGCCTTGCTTTGAGGTCACTGTGCGCTAAAAACATGTCATCAAACAAAGCAGCTGTGACTTTTGGCGAGGCATGCGAGGCCAAGGTAGGCACCAGGCAGGCCGTGAGCCTGATGCACGCAGCTTTCCTGTTTTTGTTTGACAAGTTTTTCCAAGGTATTACCCTTGGATCCTCTACTTCTTCTGCAGTTGGCTGCCCGAGGCCTGCATAAGTAGCAGGGGACGTGGGCTCCAAGCCATAATGCTGGGCAAGTCAACCGAGGAAAGAGCAATCGTTGCAGGGATGCAATGCGACATAGATTAGCTGGTTGTCCCGCACTGTACTGCTAGGGCCATACGAGAAGGAACGGAACGTCAGTGCAACGTATCAAAGCCTAAGCATCTTAAGCAAGCAAGCCACAGGCAGCATGGGAGCTTCGAATGATTTGCGTTCGTTCGAAGCCTTGCCGAACCTATTTGTCGCAGAGGCCAGGTGGAAGATACACTCAACATTTCTTGGCAGACTCTTGGTGTCCCCAGGAAGGCTTGGATGTGGTGGATTCAGGATGGCCTGTGGCCGTTTGCTCTGGTGGATAATGGGGACATGCAGTGGCGTGACTTTCGCAGTTCGCTGCCACTTCTGTTGCCTGCAGCACTGGGAACAGTGCCCTGGAATGACTTGGATGTTGAAGCTGTTGGAGCTTCCATGTGATTGGCAGGAATCTCAAGAGCTGAACAGGCTCAATGCTCAAGCTAAATGCAGTCGTTGTAGCAAGAACCTTCCAACAGCTGAACGAGAACGTTTTAGTTTGGGCTGTTCACGTCTGAGGTGATGATCAGACGTTGCCTTGCAGCCCAGATGCCCGGAATCGGTGGCGGGTACAGTGCGCGCATTCTGGTGCGCGCCTGTATGGGGGTATTCTTCGTGCTTGTGTTGCATGGAGTGGGCTGCATCTTCGTGCTTGCACATGCGTGGGTATTCTATGCCTTGGCACGACTCCTGGCAGGCAAGCAAATGTTTGTTCCAATGGTCTGGGCAGCAGCACTAACGTACATCGTTCTCACAGACCGGAACATTTTGCCTGAAGAGTCCATGCACTTCCGCACTTGGCTGGGTCCCAGTGCAGCGTTCTTAGATGCAGAGCCCTTCAGCGGCATCTACCATTGGTCACACTCTCTCAAGCTGATGCTGCTCCGCTCCATGAGCTTTGTGCTGGATTGGCATCGGGCTTTAATCTCAGGTGTCTGGTTTAAACTCAAGTAATATTATGTTACCTCCGCATTTCCCATTCTCACTTCAGCTATGATCTGTCTAAGTGGCTCTTCCAGATTGGGCATGGTGGGCTCCCCTGCAGGAACAGCGCCTGAGGGCAGATATTGTTTTCTCAACTCGCTGGCGCACCTCCTCTATTTGCCGACCTTTCTGGCAGGTCGATAGGGAAGAAAAGCATGTATAACAATGTGCTCACAAAACAACGGCTTGAACAAAAATTAGAGTCGCTTGACCATACCCCAGCGTCATGTAAGGGTCCCCCAAAAAGACCTGTACTCTTGTGTTTCCCGAGAGCATGCTGATTGAAGTAGCACTTTTTGCAAGGATCACGGAACTCTGTCATAAGAGGTCCTGTTTTGACTTTCGACGACTTCATCGACCAGTGCCAGGTTCCGAAGACCCTGGGAAGCAGCGTGCTCTGGTTCCCAGGCCTTGACTTTATTTTAGTCAGGGTCCGGGTGCTTGGGTCAAGGGCTCAGGGATATTCAATCGACAGCAAGGAGAAGAGTACTAGCAATGGTGGAGCGTCAGCGACTGTTGACTTCAACATCAAAGATCATTGCATATCATTCCGCTAGATTCCTCACTCCATGGGCCATGGCTAGAGTAGTCAGAGCGATAGGACCCACTAGCTGAGCCCGAGCTTGGGGTTCGATGCATTTTTGCAGGACTAGAGTCTCCCTTTTTGGAGACCTCCTGAAGGATGCAACACACTCTGCGCATACCGTTCGAGTTGCAACATTTTCAGAAAGAGACTATTTTCAGCGGTCTGGGTCACATCGAGGTCCTTGCTGCAGCTGCTTGTGGCTTTGGCCATGACGGTTGCTCAACTGCAAAATTACTGCTCGTTGCTTCTTAGACCCCAGAAAAGAGACAAGAGACCTATAGTGGGCAGTGGCAGCCTAAAGGATTGCCATAGTTATTCTTGGGGACAAGCATTCTAGATTTCCTGGTACAGCTGCAATAATGCATGCACGAGGAATATTCCCTTTCGCTATTTTTCGGGGTTCTGGGATGTGTAAGGGGGGCCTGACTGTCTGTCCTTCAGATGTCGGAGCCCACACGACGCGTCATTTCCTGGAAGCTGGCTGACCAAGCTATGACCTACAGAAGAGATGTCCCCAGGTAGTATCTGCCTGGAGGGTACTTGTAAGGGTGAGAGATGCCTTACCGCGCCAACCCTGCCAACCATGCCAGGAGTCTGCCTGGCATCTCTATTTTGTCTTTGCCATGGCCAGGGTAGACTTGCTGCAGGACCCCCGGGACACCTCAAGCAGCTTGGCGGGCCCTTATGGCTGAGCCAGGGCATTGCGGGTATTTTGTTTTAGTGACACTGGAAGTCAGCTACTTGTTAACAGGACGAAGGACCCATCCTTTTACATGCACCTGAGAGGAGATGTCGCCGCGGCTGGTTGCCACGGCCGTGTTCATCACTTTGCGCCTCGAACTGCAAGCAAGCTTTGGAAAGTCTAAGCCATAGTACTTCGACGAACAACAAAACAGCTCGGTGCTTGATGTGCTTTTCGTTCCTCAGAGCAATCGCTGAGGAACATGATGTGGCTGAAATTCCTTTGCATGTGGAGGTTTGGTCGAGTCACTCAGCTGTCAATCCACTGGGCCCGCCACAGTTTGTACTTGCTGGGAAATTTGCATGTAATAATGTATTTGAGAGGTCCGTGCAGCCTCTTTCTGTTCCTAGATTCCTGCCTGATACTCAAGCACCCGTATTTGTACGGTTATGAGGAATGCAAGAGTCAGTCAATCAGGAGAACGGTATCTCTCTTTTGCACGGCCTTTGGCACTGCTTGTTATTTCTCTGAGGTTTGGGCCATGGCAGATGGCATCGAAGTGCCAGAAAACATGCGGCGTTCCATGTGCAACAACTTCTCACTTCTGGGCTTTTGGCGGAGCTGGCATGCGTCCTTCAACCGCTGGCTTGTGAGATATCTGCACCTCCGCTTATATATACGGAATGACCAGGCAGGTACCCCTTATCCCAAGAGGAGCACGACGACAATTAAAGCATTAAGAACAAGTGTGTGAGGATAAGTCGCAGTTTAAGCAGAGGCAATAGAGCAGGACGAAGAAAAAGAAGAAGACGAGACGGAGGAGAAGAGACTGCAGGTAAAACAGTCTCCCAGAACCAGCCCATAGCGTTGGCCAGATGTAGGTTGCATCGTGAGGTATGTGCCAACTGGATTTTTTCTAGGACGTGCAGCTTCTATGCTCCACTACACCTCCTTGTTGTCGGTCAAGATGCCCAAGGGAATGTTAGCTGGAATGTCCTCAAAATGCCTGCAAGCATAGTTTACGAAGTTCCTCTCTGAAAGTGTTGCTGGCAAAGTTTAATTGGTAGGGTGGTGCACTGTTGGCTTGGTCGCTTGTTAAGTGCAGGTATGTGCCATTGGGCGGCTCACACCGGAAGCTTGTGGCATCAACAGCGACTTTCCTTTTTGTCGCGGCGTGGCACGACCTTCAGGCGAGAAGAGGGTCGGTGCTTGCAGCTGGTTCCTTTGAAAGAGGACTGGACAGGGCTGAGAAACCTTGCGGGTGACCAATCTTATGCTTAAAACTGTACAGTTCTGGATGGTGCATATGACTTTGCATGCAGGAGTTTTTTTGATTTAGTTTTGTATAACTCAAGATTGATGGCCCCAGCGCCCTCAGTTGAAGCTCATCGCCTGGGGCCTGTTCAATGTGGTCTTCCTCTGGCTGGAGGTCTGCCCAGCTTTGTGTTTGTTGGTGGACATCTGGGAAGCAAATATCCAAATACCGACTTCCTGCAGAAAAATATTTCGGGTCCTCTCAAGGCATGAGGGTCTTCATGGGATTTCTTTGACATGCAGCCTGCAGTTCCACGTGACTGCAGTTCAGGTACAACTACTACCACATCCTACTACTGTTTTTCCGTTGCCTTTCTATTTAGATGCATGGTTCGCACGCGTGCTCGCCCTAAAGCTCAGGGTGTTGCAGTGGCAGCGTTCCCTGCCGTTGCCTGGCCGCGACCTGTGCTGGGCCTGGCAGGCGGTCCATGGGAAATTGAGTGCTGGGGGTTCATGACATCCTGCATTCTTGGCTGGACTCGACTGAATGCTGTTAGTGCGGAAGGTAGCACCTACATCGTGGTCCTGATGGCGGTCAACTTGATACTAAGCCCTGTTTAAGATCGCAGAATTTTGCTGCATGTGGTGGATAGCAACCCAGCAGCGCAACGTGGCGCAATTCCGACAGGATGAGAGTTATTTCCACGTACACTGTACATTCTCAAGCCCACAAATGCAACCTGTGGACTGAGCTCAAAAGCCTAAGAAAGGATCGGGTACTCCACCGGCCTGCACGGCTTTGCAGCGCTGCTGCCGGCCACAGCGCAGTGGCGGGAGGTGGTTGGGGCGCATTTGTTTCGAGTTGTTGCAATTGCTTTTGCTGCTGGCTACCAGAAGCAGGGTCCAGTATCAAGTTGTATCAGATCTTTTTGCAGTTCCAAGCGTTGGACCTCAAAGACTACGCCATGCCAGGCACTTTGGGTGATTGCTGGCGCTTATGTGACCTTCTTCTGTGGCATTCAGGCTGCCTGACGGGCGGCTGCAGATGATTGAAAGGGGATGAAAGGGGTCTTCATTTCCCACTGGTGGGCAATGAATTCATAGATCTCGTGATATTACGTCTAAATCTAGAGCTGCACGACCTTTTCCTGGCCTTCTGCTTGGGACGAAGGCCTGGGCCCACCCTGCCCCTGAATCCAGAAGAGATGCAACACAGTCTTGCAATCCTTGAGAGTTAGAGGGACCCCCTGCAAATGACACGTCCCTACGTCTCCCAGGATCTCCAATAGTCAATAGCACCTCCATTTTGGAGAAATCCCTGCTCAGAAGCCGATGCATCTCGGTGCAGGTAATGCTGGAGGTCCGGAAGCTGGATGGGACGACCGGAAAGGGAAAGGAGGCCCCCTTGCGGAGGTTGCGCACCCTTGAATGTGCAGTTTAGGCCGCAACTTGACCCACCCCCCAACTGTAAGCAACTTGCCCTGGGTTCAGCTTTGCAGAGCTCTGAATTCCGTTTCTTCAGGCATTATCGGGCCCCAAGAGTGATTGACCAAAGGCCAGAGGTGGGAAGTTGCTCGGCCGCATGTAAGTGTAAGATGGCACCGCCAGCACCTGCATCGATGTGAAGAGATGCATCTCTTATCCACTAGGCTACAGCCGCTATCAACATGCATCTTGGGTCACTCCATGAGGTCTAGCAAGCAGAGGAGAAATGTTATATCACTACATTTGAACAGCATTTGCCATGATGCATGTGTGACTGCCTGGGTCGTGATCAACCTATACATGTTGGTTCTGTCCAAGTTTTAGGCAGCCTGTTCTCTCATTTGCTGTGGAGCCGAGGTGCCTAGCTGTTCCTTCTCATGCCCGGGCGCGTCCTGCCGGCAGAGTCGCAGACCTACCTCCTCAAGCACTTGCACACAGGTGACATTTGCACGACTTTTCCATGCTCAGACCCCTTGAAGCCACTCGCCAAGCAGGTTTTGGCGAAGTGTGATTCTTGCCCATGCCCGTACACTGGGCATAATCCAGGCTAAGCAGTTGTGAACCTCGCTGTGGCAAAACCTACTGTACCCACCAGAAGGTAAGCCAGTACGATGCTGATCGAACCAGGATGCTGTAAGTTTTCAATGTTTAAGAAAAGTACATCTGGATTGTTCTGGAGTGCTGTCGGCTCTACGACAGCAAGTGCAAGGTGACGTGGAATGGCTTCTGTTGGCCGCTGGCTGCGCAGCAATTCACGGGCCAGACTGTCATCCAAGGCACAGTTCAGAAGTACCCACAGTCCACAAACATGTTGGAGAAGAGATGATCCCTTAATGTGATGGTTTGTAGAGATCCATAGTAGCTTGGGGGTTCCCCTCTCAGGTAGTCTGGGGATTCTGCCCTGAGCAGGGCTTCTGGGCTTTGCCTTGCACCCTTCGAGATTGGTGTGATCAATCCAGAGTCGGAACTTCAAACCTTGCAGCATTTTGCACCGTAGAACCCGAACCTCAAAGCTTCAAACTTGCAGGGAAGTGGGCAGTCCTGTTTCGCGAGGTAGATTATGCAACCGGAATGTGGAAACGGCAACTTGAACATAGCAATTGCAAACCATGGTGTTCCCAGAACGTGGAAGGTACAAGCAAAACATGGATGTTGTTTATCACGAAAGCCAGCGGAGCTAGGCTTGAGTTTTGTTTTGCTTCAGCAGTAATAGCCTTCAAGGTTTGGGAAAACGACGCATCCTGTGATACATCACAGCATGAGGGGGGGGGGTCAAGCTTAATCGTTTCACAGGAAATTCTTTTGCACGAGCCATAGGTTTGGAAGGGGTTCTAACCCCATATCATCATCGTATAATCCTCACATCATCCGTAAATAATTCACACAGAATCCTCCCACAACGCAGCCACGGGGACGTGCGACAAAGGTGTAGAGTGAAGAGCATGAAAACTGAGGCATGGTAGCACACACGCACACACACATATATCTATCTACATGTACATTTTTGGGTGTGTTTTGCTCGATTCCCTTTTGAGTTTCAGCGTGTGTTTTATTCCGTTATGAAATGTCAACGTTTTAGTACGGGCTGAAAGTGGGTGGTGAACTCTACCTTCTGACTTGAAAACCCTTTCTTCCGGTTTTCGAATGCACGCTTCGGCTGGAAATCTACATTTTGGTTGTGAAGAGGCAAAATCCTCCCCTTGCTCTCCCCAACATCTCCAAAATGCGCCCCGTGTTTTTGCCAAGCTGGGTGTGAACACGCTACAAAGCCGGCAGTGCACGCCCCTGCAGGAGGTGAAGCCACCCCTCTGTATTGACATGAATGTGTCCGGGCGAGGTAGATTAGAGTTCAGTCCCGCCCACTTGCCACAGGTCTGGGACCGTTTACGTGCGGTTGGTTTTACGATTCAGAAAGATTGCGGTGAGAGGGGTCTGTCAATAGACGGTGGGCGCAAAAAACACAATCATGACTGTCTGCCATGCTATTTCCAAAGTACAGTAATTTGTGATCATGGCTTGTGCCATCTTCGAACCCATGTGTGTGTTCATTTGGCCTGCCCCTGCCACTGACATATTGGAGATATTGGACACCAGAGCTAAGGGTTCAGACATCGTTTTATCGGTTTAATCGCAAGATTGTCCATCCAAAATACCATTGCCGTGGAGCATACTTTGTTCCTATAATCCGTAACCTTCACTGCACGGGGATGACTTCATCTGCGACGGTGGCAAAGGTAGACGGCTACCAATATGGTTTCATATATACTACTGATGCCTCGGGCATAGGACACGACTCGGGATGCTCTGGGCTAACATCCCGATACTCTTTGCCCACTGCAGGTCTGCCAGGCTCAACACGCCTGGTCGTTCTTCTGGCACCTCAGAGCCGCGGTGTAAAGCCATGATGTGCTCTACCCGAGCCCTCCGGAGCTGGAGCTCAGTGATGACGGCCCATAATATCGGCAATCTCCACACAAGGGTTTGCAGTGCAGAGGACATGGTCTGGCAAAGGATTGCTGGTTTCCCATGGTATCTCGAGTCAATGCGCGGCTTCTCAGAAGCGTAGCGCAGTTGAATTCTGCATGTTTCAAAGGCATCTGCCGGAGCAAGCGAGCTATTCTTCCTGCAGAGATTCAAAAGAGTGTCACACAGATACCTTTCTGCCAGCATAGCTGCAGCCATGCTGCAGCTCTTGTAACCGATCTCTGGTGGTACCAATGATGCCATGACGCTGCTTAAAATCTTGGGTACGGTTGTCAATCAGTTAGCAGTTAGCATTTGGAAGTTATCTTGGGTTGCCCACATATATCAGCATGTTGGGGGATTGTTCTAGCAAGCTCAAAGAGGGCAACAAGGGGACTACAGCCTGAATATTTCGCACTTTAACAAGTCATGGAGTTCCATATGGTCCATATTACCACAACGTTCGAAGCCCAGTGGCGCAGAGAAGGCATTATTGCAAGTTTCCTGTGATGTCTCGGCTATGGCAATAACTAACAAATCTCACGGGGCCAGTACCGGTATGGTTTGGACTTTAGTTCTTGCACGCCTGAACATTAAGCCATGAGCCTCAACCTGATGTGAGGCTCCAAAGCCCTAAACACTGATATTGTACTCTGACCCCAGTCAAGCACCAAGCGCATGCGGTAGGGTCTGCGTGCATGAGAGAGTGAGAGTGCAAGCGCATTCTAGCAGCGGTGACTGTCCAGAGATGCCGTCATGACTGCGCGCAACATGCCCCATGTTGCAGGGACCTGGACCTGCCTGCGGAGGGCAACCAGCAACAAATGGCCGGGCCCCAAGAATGATCCAACGCGCAGCCCGTTATTATGGTCACAATGATTGGAATTGACATTGACTTTTGTGCTACACTGTCACAAAAAAAGGAAAAGGAGTGCGAAACAGTATCGACACGAGAGCTAACAGAGTGCTCTAGGGTTGGAGTCCAATAGTTTGGTTTTTCTTCAAGCTCCCCAGGAAGCAGTGGAGGCTTCCCTTCCTTCAAACCATGTACACAGAACTCCAGATAGTGGTATGCAGCTTCTCGGCCCTTGCCGAGCGAATGGTAGCATGCATCTCAAAACATCTTCAAAGCAGAGTCATTTTAGGAGTTGCACCAAGGTCATCTGGAACTATAGAAGAAACACGTCTCAAAACTTGCGGATATTGTGAGCCTCCAGCCTTGGCAACCCCAACCCTCAACACCAACCACTCATCACTCACCCTGAACTTTGGTCTCGAAACTGGGCCGGCCTTGTTCTGCCCAAGCAGGGGCTTGCAGCGAAGCTGCAGAGTATCCTTGAGTATCGTTGATGTTGCGCACATGGCAGCGCTCCAAGCTGCTTCCTCCACTGCTGCGATCAACGCAGGCGCTCGGGGCCAGCCACTCAACAGTTGCAATGTCGCCTGAACATGTGGTTGCCGGTAGGCGTTTGCGAGTGATCGACAGCTGCCGGCCAAGGGGCCCCGCGGAAGCAGCAGAGTTCCAACGTTGATAGCACTGCCAACAGTTTTTTGAAAATGCTAATTAGTGCCAGTAGAGAGGAGGGGCTGTTCTAAAACTAATCCGCAATCCTTGCGCACATTGTCTGATAGCGAGATTACCGATTGCACGGATTATGGATTAGACGGAGACGTATTGTCAGATGTTCCAGACAGTCCCCGCCCCCCTTTGAAATACATGTTCCGTAACCATCGTACCAAAATACTTCTTGTGGTTGCCCGCAGTGCTATCTTTGTCTAAGCCCTGCAGTCCTAGTGCGCCCCTGCAAGCCCAAAACTCTAAACTCCCCAGCTACAGGCCACCCCGACCCCATGACCTAAATCAACATAAATCACCCAATGGCCCGACTTTGGCTTAAATGCGCTGCTACATGAGCACTCACCACAGCTTTCATCTTATGCGGCCTATGTAAAGGATTCCCGAAGGCCCCCAAAGCGACAGGACCACCCAAGGGTCAATATCTCCCAATTTTGAAGGGTAGCAGTAGGCTCTTCAGTGGACCTGTTTCACTTGCAGCAACACACGAGCAAAATGAGATCTCCTTCGTCACATTGCGAAAGAAAGGCGCAAAGTGATGGGCAATACTTGCAGCACCTTGCCCGAGCTACTTGTTGCATCGGACTATATAAGGAGATAGAAACCAGAAGTAAACCTCAGTTCCTTCACCTTAGATCCCATCCCCTGAATCCCTCAATCTGAACCTTGGGCCCCACCCACTTACCCCTATAAGCCCTGTGCTGTTGTCTCGCAGTCCGCAGCTTCCCATCGTCCCAATTCTGCTTGCATGCAGCTTCGGTGCCTGTGCTGGGGCCCTACACTTGCGCAAAGAAGCAACACAAAGGATCATTTTTGAGGTCCTTATCTCAAGGATCGAGACCTTGATTTTGGATATGCCCACATCGGACCCTAGAAAGGGCCTGCAATGACTACGGTCATTCTTGCAGCCGGGTGAGGAGTAGGAAATTGCTGTTTCTCAGCAAGTCTCAGGGTTGAGGGCCGTAGGATGGTAATCTTGGCAAGTTGTAAGCAGTAGCAACGAATTGGAGAAGTAAGGATGCTAGCAGGAGTAGCAAGTAGTGCATGTACGCAGGGCGCCGTATGTGGTCTTTGGACAAGGTTCTTCAGCTGCCTCGGGGTGTGCGTTCCCTTCGCGTCTTGCGTGCACTTGCTTCGGAGCGTGCTTGCATCTGAGATTGTGGCCTTTGACTACTTCAGCAAGCCTGGCTCTCGGGCAATCATGTAGGCCATGAGGGCTACAGCTTTCGGTCTGCTCCTGCAGTTGAGCGAGGCAAAAGACTCCGTATGAGATCATGCTGCGAAAGAAGGAGGAGGCCTGGCATTTTGAGATGCTTGTCAACACCTGATGCTTGTCTTATTTGGCAGGAATGGAGGGAGCGCCTAGCTGAGCTCAAAGAGCACTATGCCCAGGCCAGGAAGAATTGTCGCCAATCACTTGCAGACTTTGACTCTCGCGTGGCCATGACTTGCTGCCTGGGGTTTACCTTTTGCAGGACCCTGAGAAAAGAGATCCGTCGGGGACCTACTGAAACAGATGACAGGTTGTCTTATGACAGTACATTATGAGGCAGGGTTTGACAATGGGAATTTGGTGAGTGTATATTTCTGGTGTCCATTTGGACAGACCGTAAGGCAAGATCCTGCCATCGGTGAGTTTTTCAATTCCAGCATCTCCCCATAGGATTGGTGTCCTATGAAATTCTGAAGCCAGGCCCCACGGGACGGCCCTGGGACACTTCGTGCGCGTGAATCGCAATAGCCGACTACTGCCGACCGGACTCCCAGACTGGAAGGCAGGTGAGAGGCTGAAGCAAGCTGTGTCTTCGGATTTCAGACAGCTGGAGGATTATCTGGATAACAGTCGAATCGCAAGGGAGCGTAGCGGCTTCAATTTGTGTGTTGTCGAGGTAGTGCTGCAAACTTGTGACAACAGTCGTGTCGGTTGGACCACCATTGGAAGTAGGATCACACTTGATTGCTGCTTCGCCAGAGAGAACGTCATACCTTGAGGAGCGCTTAGAGATTCTGGGGCTTGTGATTCCGTTGCGGCTGCAGACGGACAACTAGATAGAGAAACCTAGTTCCTGTGTCTCAAAAAGAGGTCTCCGACGTCCACAGGAAAAGAAGAGGGTCGTCATGTTAGGAACGCCGAAGGAGAAGCAATGTCTTTTGCAGAAGATTCAGGGTTGACAAAGGGATCGATAATCTGGACACACCACTCCTTTCATCATCACTGCGTCGTCTGGAATGATACCCATGGAGTCTCGAACGCATACCCGTAGTGCTGAGACATGCTGAGATATCCTGAAGATCTCCTTCCGCCTGGAGCAAACATAAGCCTTATCTGCAAACATCTGCAAACTGTGTAGATTTGGGTGCCGAAGGTGCAGGAGCTGGAGTCCGTGGACGGCTGGAGATGGGAGTGACTGCACGAGCTGTTTCCAGGTAGGAAGACCTGTGCCTGACGCTTGCAGTCGTCTGGACTTTGCGAATGTGATCGCAGGTCTGTGTGAAGCGCGGAATGTGCAAAGACCTCATGCGCTGGCGAAGCAGAAAAATGCAAGTGACGTGTCATGCCCTGGGCGTTCATACTGTCCGTGTTTGACAGTGGCACCGTTACGTGCTTCTTGACTGCATCGAAGAGTTGGGAAAAGCTTTGCGTGATGCTAACCAATCTTCAGTAAGGAATTTGCCGCTCAGATTAGTTCTAGACACTCCCTTGGACTTGAGCGTCGGACGGTCTGCGATGTGACGTGACGTCGGAGCTCTCCGAAGAAGGAAGAGTCTGACTGTGTGCAAGAGATGCGGACGACTGTCCACTGTTTTCATCGTGGGACTTGTTTTCTTGCAGCCGCTGCGATCAGGGGTGGCTTGATAGGAAGAGTCTGACTCAGGATGAAGTCGCTGTATTAGCTGTATCTGACCTGAAATGAGACCACTTGGTTGACTTAGCACCCCTGATCCAAGCAGGCTGCGTGCCATCAGTTGCCTTACGGCTTGGCAAGGGCATGTCGTGGCGCTGTGCTGATGTTGACCAGTGCCGTCGTCATGCATGCATGCCTCCCCTGGAATTGTTCCAGCTGATGCTGACTTGTGATTGCTTGCAAAGGATGAGAATACTTTTGATAGGAAGAGTCTGATTGATCATGAAGCATCAACAATTAGCTCTATCTGATGGTATGACCATGAAATTGGGCTTGGCCTTGGCTTGCATCATTGGAACTTGCCACCAGCGTCGCTGGCTCCAGTCCTTCTACGCGTGGAATCGGTCGGATGGAATTTCGCTGCGTGCTTTGTGACCGGGATGAAAGCATGATTGATAGGAAGAGTCTGACTGT